GGACGATTAAGAAGAAAAGTGCATATTCGTTGGGTACGAGAGGAGGACAAAAGCATACAAGCTCTACAATCCAGTTACAAAGAAGATGATCATTTAAAGAGACGTGGAGTTCAGTGAAGAAGATTATTAGAAATGGACCGATAAAGAAAAAAACATTAAAGGTATGTTCTTTGAAGATAATGATGATAACTTGCAGGAGGTTGGAAGACTAGAACAAAGTCCACCAAATAGTCCAGCTCTATCAACCTCAACATCGACGCCGACATCATCACCATCCAGCTTAAGTGAAAAAAGCTCTTTAGGGGGAGCAACAAGGAGGACGAGAAGTCTAAGAGATCTGTACGACGATACAGAAACTGTCGAGATGATGGAGGACTACACACTATTCTGCTTGTTTGCAAAATGTGATTTGGTCAGTTATGAAGATGATGCTCAAGAAGACAAGTGGATAAAAGCCATTGATAATCATATTTTATTACAATTTGATATCCTCGTTATCTATTTTTAATGAATAAATATACCACTAATAATTGTTTTTATCTTTAATTACAGGTTAATGAAGAATAAAGCCTAAAAATCACATCTCTCAATAAAAACCCATTGATTAAATGAAAGAAAAACTCAAGCATGAGCCAAAAAGCCTAAGCCCAAATCCAAAAAAAGAAGAAGAAATGTCCAAATGCCTAAGCCCAAGAACAAATATAAGAGCAATCTTCGGACAGAAACCAGAGAGAAGAAGGCATCGATGCCAGCATCGATGGAGGCATCGATGCTGGCATTGATGCCTGTATCGATGCCCGTATCGATACCCCTGTCGATGCTGGTATCGATACCATCGACAGGCAGTTACGAATCTAAGACTAAAATTCATGGTTTTTGGATAAGATTTCAATCGAAGGGCTCTCATTTACTGATGTTTACTATAAATAAGGGTAAAAAGTGAGGGTTAGAGGTGTGAAAAATTTTATAACTCCATTTGGAGAGGAGGGTTACTCTTAATTGAGAATACCTTCTAAAAATTATAATTTTTTGTTGTAATTAATAAAAGAATTGTTTTCACCACTTTAAATTTTCTTCTCTTTATTTGATGATGATGAAGAAGATGAAGATCAATTTGAAACTTTGCTTTTATTTTATTTTTCTCTTTTATTTTTTATTTCTTTTTAGTAATTTCATTCTTATTGCTTATTAGTTTAGATTTACATTCATGTCTTGTAGAGTAGATTTATTATCTTTATTTTATGTATTTTTAATTTGTAGAGTAGATTTATTTTCTTGCACTTTTATTTCTTTTGCAATTTAGTTAGATTTTCTTGTTCATAGTGTAAAGTTCCTTGTTCTTATTTCTTTTCTTTGTAATTAGTTCTTATTCTTTTTATTCCTTGTTTTATTTCTTAAGATGTGGAATTAATTCTTATAGGAATCTTAGAATTGTATGAAATTAGCTTTACTTCCTTTATATTGTATGAATTATTCTCTTATGCTTAAAATAATCATGTATAGGATAATCAACTAGAGAACTAATTGGTAGAAGAAGAATTTGATAATTTATGCTTATCTTGAGTGGTTTGATATGTTATGCTTATAAATTCTAGAATTATTATCTAGTTATTTTTCTTGTCATAAATATTAATTTTGCTTAGATGATAATTTGATAGGTTATACTTTTCTTAAATGGTTTGATAGTCTATGCTTAATAAATCTAAAGTAAAATATGATAAAAAAAGAATAGTTTATATTTTATAATTGAAATTAGCTAGTGGATTCAATCTAGATTTCTCATATCTTTAATTGAATCCTTCATCTTTTCTTTCTTGATTTTCCTTAGTTCTTGATTTTTTCTTATTTGTTTCTTGATTTTTATTTCCTTTATTTTTCTTTCCTTATGTTTTCATTTATTCTTTTATCACATCCACTCTTTATTTCTACCATCTAAAATCTCATTTATTGACTTTTGTACATATTTACGACACTACTCATAACTCCCCATAATCATATTTTTTTTATCACTCCTAATTGTCACGTACAAAACATAAGAACCGAATCTAATTTTCTCCTACAAACACCTTCCTCGTGGGATCGATAACTTTTTATACTATAATGTAATTAGTTGTGCACTTGCAACTTTTGATACATATTTATGTCGCATCAGCCATGGACGACGAGATCGAGGCAATCAAGAGAAATGACACATGGGAGCTCACTACCTTACCTGAAGACCATAAACTAATTGGAGTAAAGTGGGTGTACAAGACAAAGACAAATCAAGATGGCGGAATCGAGAAATACAAGGCCAGACTTATTACAAAGGGCTATAGTCAGCGAGAAGAAGTTGACTATGAAGAAGTGTTCACACTAGTCACGAGGATCGACACTATTCGACTCATTATCACATAGGTAGCACAGAACCGGTCTATCAGATGGACGTGAAGTCAACCTTTCTTAATGGCTATCTAGAAGAAGAAGTCTACATCGAGCAATCACCTGGGTACGTGATGAAGAATCAAGAAGACAAGGTTTATAAGCTGAAGAAGGCATTGTATGGGCTGAAGCAAGCACCTAAAGCATGGAATGCCGGAATTGATGCATACTTCCAGAAGAACGGATTCCAACAGTCTGTATGAGCACTCTCTCTATACCAAGAAGAAGGATGGAGACATTATGATCATATGTCTCTACGTGGACGACATGATCTTCACCGGAAACAATCCAAAAATGTTCAAGGAGTTCATGAAGAACATGATCAAGGAGTTCGAGATGACTGACATTGGAGAAATATCATACTTTCTTTGAGTAAAAGTGTCATAATCAGAGAAATGAATCTTCATCTCTCAGAAGAAGTATGCAAAGGAGATCCTCCAAAAGTTCAACATGAGCAACTGCAATCCAGTTACAACTCCTGCAGAAGTCGGAGTGAAGCTGAGGCGAGAATCACCAGGAAGCTTTATTGATCCAACTCTATACAAGAACTTAGTCGGGAGCTTGCGCTACCTAACCATCACTAGGCCCGACATAGTGTTCGCTGTAGGACTGGTGAGCAAATACACGGAGGAGCCAAGGCAAGAGCATTTCAAGACAACCAAGAGAATTCTCAGGTATGTCCGAGGAAGTATTGATCAAGGATTATTTTATACACAATCTGCAGATTCAAGATTAGTCGGCTACACCGACAGCGATTATGATGGAGATTTAGATGAAAAAAGAGCACATCTGGCTACATGTTCAATATCAGATCAGCAACATTCCCATAGTCATCAAAGAAGCAGTATGTTATCTCTCTATCAAGTTGCGAAGCAGAATACATAGCAGCATCGACATGTGTGTGTCAAGCAATATGGCTCATGAGTCTGATGAAGGAATTGTAACACCAACAAGAAGCATCGACAGAGATTCTCATCGACAACAAGTCAGCTATTACACTTACCAAAATTCCGGTAGCATATGAATGAAGCAAACACATAGAGACAAGATATCATTTTATCCGACATCAAGTTAAAAAGAAGACTGTGATACTGACATATTGTAAGTTTGAAGATCAAATCGCTGACATCATCACCAAGCCATTGAAGACAGAAACATTTTTTAAGCTTAAGAAGAAGCTTGGACTTGTGAGAAATGAAAGCTGGTGTTGAGGGGGAGTGTTGAAGATCAACAGTAGCCCATTTCAAAGCCCAATCTATTTTCAGCCCAGGGAAAATAAAAGCCCAAATCCATTCCATCTAAGCCCAAGACTATGGAAGCTTCTCAACAAATGTGGAAGAAATATATTTTTAATAGAAAATTATAGAAGGATGTAGAAAGAAGATCTTTTAGGAGAAGTGTGTAGAATATGGTAATAATGCATGACTAGGATTGATTCTTCCACACACTTCCTAGCCCTCTTAAGCAACTATAAATAGGGGTCTTGGGCTCTCATTTGGGCAAGTAAGCAAGCAAAAAGTAAGCTTGAAAGCTTGAGTGTATAGTGTAGGCTTGTGTGAGTGTTCACCAAAATAAAAAGTTGTGTGAAAGTGAGGTGCTCTTGTAAGAGCAAGTATTGTACTTTCTAGTGTTCTATTAATAAAAGTTTCCTTTGTGTAGAGGGTTGTATATTTAAAACTCCATCAGCCATAATAAGCAACAGTGCTAACTAGCTTCAGATTAGAATTATGTGAAGCAAACAAAACACAATAAAAGAAGTCATCTTTCATGGAAAATTTTTAATGTTCATGCCTTTACCCAAAAATACTCCATTACATAGTAGCTAAAAATTATAATATAACTCATTATCCAATTATTACCATTACAAGTTATGATATAATATTTGAAATTTTATTTTACCTATTAGTGAAATGGCATTTCTTCAAAAAAAAAAGAGGAAAAATGTTTTAATTATGTCCATTAGAAGTTATTCTACAATGACTCATGTTGATTATTAATTGTGACTGGAAAGCGACATTACTACTTTACAAGATTTCATTGCTTCCCTATTCAGTCAGCTAAACCAAATGTAATAACAAATATGAGCAAACCTCAGAATTTGCTTACACGTCTTGCAAAACAAATATCAGCATACAATGAGATGGAGGAGCTGGTCCTTAACATTCAACGGCCACTTTCAAATTTATGCAAAACTATTAACCTAATGGAAGCATACCGTAAATTTTTAAATTTTCTAATAAAAGAAGATATTCTATTGCGAATCTCAAGTTATATAATGTGAAACCTTATCCCATGCAAGGATGGCATTACTTCTTTTGCTTGAAAGTTAGTGAGGGGACATGGAGCTTAGGTTGAATCATGTCCTACACTAAGGAATTTTCTTTCAAACATAAAGCTCTAATTGTAGATTTATATAAAATTACTTCCATATAAAATTCAAATGAAAATTTGTTCGTGTAAATCTATGAAAATTTTAGCTTCCATGAGTAATTGTGTAATTGCATGTGTGAAACGTCTGGTACTTAATATAGATTGGCATAAGTCCCTATATTTACCAGAACAGATCAAAGGAGACATACCATTGATTTTTCTTGCAAATTATACAATTGTTGCTTCAAGCCGACTGCCTCCTTCGTCAAGAACTAAATCATATAGCAAAATAAATCGTGTTATATTAGATATAGGGTGCAATCATCTGGAAAGAAGGTCCAAAAACTTAGATGTTTCCATAATGGAATATCGACCATTTAGCAGGCAAACAACTTAATCCTAGATTCATGCAAAACTTTTACAAACAAAAGCACATTTTAACAGAACAAACAAAAGATGATCAAAAAAGAACAATAGGACATACACTTTTTCTGCAGAGCCCAACATACATCAACATAGTCAAAATAAATAAATAAATAAGAAAAAAAAACGTCATGACAAAGAATAGCCTATGTAAGATAAACCAATATTGATTTAGATGTTCGCAGATTAACACAAACTAGATTCAAAGGCAAAGAACATAAATACAAAGGCGTATTCCTAAAATGGTAGAGTTTCTACTTTATATAATATATTTTGAAATGTGAAACAACATAAGTATAGAAAATAAACACAAGCATTTTGGCTTAATTAAGTGTCTAGGTCAAGATTGTTTAATTTGCATATGTGGTTTACTATTCTATGAAAAGCATGGACCTCCTAGAAATAAAATGTAATTCAAGTGTCAAATTTTATTCCACATAGATAATTATAAAAATGCATCCAAAGATTATCTCAGTTTACTCTTTGATAAATAATAAGATCAGGGATGTCCCTTTTTTGTCATGGTACACTTACCATTTCATGTCATCAAAGATGTTTCTCTAGTCTAGGGAAATTGGAGCTTGTTCCTTGAGCATCAGATATGTATATAGTTACAATTAATGGCAGTTATTTTTAATTTTACGACAGGTCCTAAAGAATGGCCCCTATTGTTCATATTTTGTTGTTTATAATGTTGGCTCAAAGTTTAGTTTTTTGTTAACATCATACTAACAGCGGGTTATAAAACTTAATTTGGTTGGTTAATTCAAAGAAATTTTCATACCAAGTAATTTCCTATAGACTAAACCCCATCTACATGGGAAAATAGAAGGACGATGGAGCACACTTAATGATATTGCCATAATCGCCACGATTCCGTAGGCATATATATGATCTGAGCATATGCACAGACATACTTATAAAAGATTTGCGCCAAGCATTCTCTTTATCTAACCATTAAGGAAGACCATGATGATTAGAGTGGATTAGGGATTGATGAATGATGACGATGATGAAGGAAATGCCTCAAATCAAACACCAAAGCTAATAGAAAGGTATACATGACGAGTCCTAATTAAGGGTTATTAACTTATTTGATCTAAAATACATTTCATAGAGTGCCTTCGACAAAATGCGAAGCTATATTATAAACTAACCAGAATACAGTAATTGGGCAACAATTGTATCTGAGGAGGCAATAATCACAAGCAGTATGATGCATGGTCACAATAATGGTACATCTGAAGATTGAATAGGAGTTATAAACAGTTATTCACCTGTAATCTGCGCCAATCACCGTATTGCATCCGAGGAAGAAGAAAAGAAAGAAAAAAGAGATTAATTAGATCTTGACATAAAGCAGTAATCACTAAGGAGAGAATAGAGAGAGAGAGAGAGAGAAAAAGGAGGCAGATCAAACTGTGCCTTGAAGAGAGAGAGAGAGAGAGAGAGAGAGAGAGAGAGAGAGAGAGAGAGAGAGAGAGAGAGAGAGAGAAAAAGGAGGCAGATCAAACTGTGCCTTGAAGAGAGAGAGAGAGAGAGAGAGAGAGAGAGAGAGAGAGAGAGAGAGAAAGAGCAGAGGGGCACGAGGTCCGCCTACGAGTGAATGCCCTTATATTGATGCTTAGGGTTAGGAGGAAAGAAGAAAATATCTAGGAAGGACACCATATTTAATAATTAAAAATAACAATTTGCAGCAGAGATGATTGAAATGGTGAACCCTTCAAAAAAAAAAAAGCCCGAAAGGTTTCATCGACTTCCACGTTGTCTCAGCACAGGAGAGCGTCGAAAATATCAGGAGACAAAGCAAAGGGGCAGTTTGTAAAATATTTCGCGGGGCTGGCTCAGCGAGTGTCCTTTGCACCAACTGGCTTTGCTTTTGTAACGTGCACCCGATTAGAAAAACTAGGAGCCTGAGTTGGAGACGTGTCAGCATCTTGGAGGACCTGCTGCTTCGCTGACACGTATCGATCTGTGGTTTAATCTGGGGCGGAATGATGTTGATTAATTTGGGATTCTTGTTCCAAGACAATTGTACTGAGGATGTTATTTATAGTACTTTTGTACTGCACTCTGTAGTGACGGTGACATGGTAATTGACTTGCCCAAGTTACGGTGATGAAGGCGGACTGGTTTGTTTCAAATGCGAAACAAAGCTTATTCGGTTGCGGTGCGATACTTTTGTACCCCCCC